GCGTGGGATCAAAAGTTTAAACCATTTGCTGTAGAAAGCAGTAGCTTGCTGTCCCACAGGATTTTCTTACCAGTGGCAACATAGAAAAAGAAAAAAAACCAAACAGGTTTGTAAAAGCTGTTCAGAGGCTTGACTACAGCGCACCCACAGACTGCACAGAGCGTAAAAGCTTCCTGAAGCTGTCAAACTGTCAGGGCTATGAAGTGCAGCAGCCCCAAAAAGCTGCCAGGGCTGGTCTGAGCAAAGGCGGCAACTGTGTTACATGAGCCTTTCAGTTCCTCTTCTGAGGGTACTTCCACTTCAGCACCTTCTCACAGCCTGTTCCAAGAAGCTTACTAGCTTCCAGACAGTAAAAACCTCCAGGTCAAATCCCAGTTCTCCCAAAAAGTGCACCCAACACCACACTGAGTTGTTCCCCCGTAATTCTTTATTAGAATCATGGATGAATATGTTTTAAATCAATCTAAAAAAATAATCAAAGTACAGTACATGCATAAAATACAAAGTAATTTACAAACAGATCAAAACAGCATCTTCAGAACTAATACTAGGAGGAGAAACGGATTTAAAAAAAAAAAAAAAAAACAAAAAACCACAAACAAGTGACCGACTACAGCAATGCCTTCCGTGTGCCTTACACATCATGAGCACCGCAAGACAGAAAAGTTGGATACGAAACGCAGCTGGTAGTGCCTACCCAGATTTGGATGTTCCAAGCGGGTCACATCAGAGCTTGAGAAACGTCCCCTACAACCAACTACTCCTCTGTAATTGTATAAATAACTGCTGGCAATCATACAACAAACAGTTCTTCTAAATACCATAGAAATAGAGTGCCTACGGCCCCCAAACCTCAGCATTAACGACGTGTTTGGGAACAGCACATACCGAGTGATCTGCGGTGAGTGCAGTGACAGAAGGCACAGTTCATGTATCCCTGAACAAGCTAATCGACAGATGATTTGTACTGAGCGACAGACCACAGAAGGAATGCATCCAGTAAGAAAACTACTCCAGAAGTTTTTGTTCGAGAACATATACCAAACCACTGGAATAATTTAAAAACACCAGATGAAACAGAACCGAAAACTACCACCAGGCTGTGGAAGTTATTGATTCAGCAGCTCAAGGATTTGGATATATTATGTGGCATGTATTAATGTGATATGTAATACGTGATGACACCCTTCAAGTCTGTGTACCATGAAAGCGCAAGGGCATCCTCAAATCCTGATACCACCAGCACGGTGGAGGCCAAGTCTCGGGCAGCACAAAACCACGCTGCAAGTTCCAGGGTTAGCGTGACCCTGCAGCAGTTACGCAGCTCGAGCTTTTGCTTTCTTGACAAGAGGCGCCTCACACGGAGGCCCGCCAGCAGCTCCCCGGCCAGCCTCCCCGCAGCTCTGCCGCACATCACAGCCTCCTCTGCAGCAGGTGCCAAACCACAAAAGCTCATTCACAGGTAGCAAGAACCCTGCTGCTTGTTTGCAAGAAATTCTCTTTTCTCCCCCATAATATTCTATATTAAAAAAAAAAATCCTTAATTTGACAGTCTGAAGACGTAGCCAAAACCATTTAACTTACATTAAAATTGCACTTCAGAGCAACGGGCATTCCATCAAGCTGCAGATGCTTGATGGAATACAACACCTTAAGAGAAGGAAAGATTATCCGGGCCAGAGATATTTTCCTAGTTAACCTGACGGTAATTGTTTTGCGAGGAGCAGAATAACATCTTCAAGCGCTCACTAAGGGGGTCTGTGCTCTGACTAGCGGGCGTCATGTTGGAAAGGGATCAGTTCAGCTCCAAACAATTCACTGAACCAAAACCGACAAGTCGGTGTTGGGAAAATACTGCAGCCACATAGAAGTAAGAGATTGATAAACACTGAAATCAAAGTGTTTAAGACATGGAGAAATTCAGAAGGAATAAGCAGTAACTAAACACAAGAAAGTAACTAAACACAAGAAAGTAACCACGAGAATTACAAATATATTTAAATTTTGGACCTGGGGAATATACACAGCCTTTTAGGAAAGAATGAATAATTCTATATATTCTGACAGCACTGCATCTTTGGTTTGTTTTCAGTGGTTGGAGGGACGTGAATGGGAACCACGTTGTTGCTTGGAGACATATCATTTTCGCGTCTGTCGGACATTTGCTTCTGGGAAACAATACGATAGATCTCTGGAAGATGAGAAAGAGCTAGTCATTACACGAACACCAGCAAAACACCATCAGAAAGTTAAATCTGGGGGAAACCAGGCATAAAACATATAAAGACTTCCCATAGCTTTGGAACTATATAGGTAATGCACAGAAGCTTTCACAAGAAGTTCAATTGTGACGCTTTCTATATTCAGAAAATAAAATATATTTTTGCAAAAGAAATGTTTTTTTATCAACTGTTTTACTTCCTTTGAGATAAGAGTTAGTAAACGGACAGAATTCACAGATTTTTGGGCTAGGAATCAGAAACTACATGCCCCATTGATTTCTTCTTATGGTTCTTAAGGCTACGAGGACAGCGGTCGCATGTTTGCCGAGGTATCCACAGACAACAGCAGGACCAAAAAGAACCACACAAAATTTCTCTCTCCGATAGGACTGCAAGGGCAATTTCTTCTCTCTCAGCATGTCTATCACGTACAATACTTTGCCTATCGTCCAAACGGTTTTAAATCTTCAGAAAAGGTTCATGGCGGTCCAAAAGGGGAGACTCGGCCCCTTAAGGAGCACACAAACCCTTTACAAAATGCACTGCGTTAGCGTAGATAAACTTCAAAACTATGGAGAAGAAATACAGACTCCAGACAAAGAAATTTCAGCATAAATCAGAGAGCCCAGGTTAATCTCCTGTGCCTTCCTCAGCACGCTGTCAAGCCGCACACTTGCGCTGAAAGCCGTGTCCCGTTTCCTGGGATTTGTTAGTGGCCGATGGCACGTGCTGTACAGAAACCCAGAGTAGCTACAAAAGCACTTATTTCAGCTACACAGAAGAAAGAGTACAGCATGTGTAGCACTTCACCCCCAGAAAGGAAATAAAAGGATACCAAAAATAGAACACGGGGAACTCACTTGCAAATTTGAGTTTTAAAACCATTAAAGTTTAAATAAAAAAAAAAAGCTTGCTAAACCTCGGTTTAACAAAAAAGTTTTAAAGTGTTTCACATTCAGGAAAAAGCCGACCCTGCAACGACAACATCACAACTTCTACTTTGCACAACAGAAAAGCAACAAGCACACCCGCACTGCCAGCAGCGGAGCCCTGAGCCAAGGCCGTGGATGCCCACACCCAATTTGCGTGCTCCAGCTGGCTGCCCTGCCGGGAGGTTTCAGATAAGCCCAGGCTGCAGAAGACCAGGGTGGCTGCAGAAGACGAGGGTGTCCATGCTTCACTCCTCCTGCACGGCAAAGCGAGGAAGAGCACAGCTCGTAAACAACTCTGGCAAAACAAAGCAAAGGTCCAAGTTCTTTCAGAGGTCTCAAGTCTCTTATCAGCTGGATAATGACCCTCCAAACACACACTTTGCCTGACCCCAAACCAAGACACATTTCTGTTCCACCAGAAATCTGTCCTTAGCGAGTAGCCTTTGTTCAGAATTTTAATGAGCTGCTGCTTCGTGCACATCCTGACATCATTTCAGTCCTGGAAATTGAGCAACCTTGTGCAGAGAGGTCCTCTTTGCTGCCAAGGGCTGATCAGAGAGTTCAGCGCCTGCTTTTACAACAATGGGAAGAGATGGCATTCAGGAGCCAGAAAGGGTCCCTGACAAACAAGGCTTGAAAACCTTGCCCTTGATGCGACAAGTTTGCACTGATATAAGCTGCCAACACAAACAGAGGCCAAGTGTTCCCCAGGAAGAGTAAGGGCAGGGCTGCACGCATCCATGGGACTGCCGGCAAAATAAAAATATCTCACGTAGATACTGTGCTTCATCTACAGACTGTACAAGTAACATTAACCTTTGCAAGTGGTGTTTTGAAAGGATCTGCCTGTTGGGCCTCCAGACTGACAGCTCAGACTCAGATAGGGATAAACTGTTCAGAAAAATGGATTTTACATATGCATTCAGTTACAGATCAAGTCCCTGAGGTGACAAACAAGTGCTGCACACATAAAAGGATTTTCTGATTTCACCCTTTCTCGAGTTCACTCTTCTTTCCAACAGTCTTACACATAAACAACTTCACAAGTGAAGTGAATATCATGAAATCAGATCTTTAAAGCCACCTGCAACCCCACGTAGGAATGTGCAGATAAAGCTCAGCTTCACCCTGTGCAGGCCGCTCAGCTGTGCTCGGCAGAGTGCCTGTGTGCAGAGGCAGGAGGAGATCTCCTCTGCGTTCTTCAGGACAAGGTTTCTGCTCCACTACCCTGTCCCAGCTCAGGGTAGACAGCCAGTTTACCTCCAAGCGTAGAACGCTGCCCATTCCCGTCCAACGGGAGAAGGCTCTTGCCACCTTTGCTACTGGAAACTCTCTAGTAGCACTCCCAGCAGCAGCAATTCCCAGTTTTCCAGAGAACTTCCTGAACAAGTTCATACCAGTCCCTAACACGAGCCGTCACACACTTCCTCCACCCCTGTAAGCAAAGACTCGCAACAGGGTGCCCTCTGTGTAACACCCTCAGCTTCCAGCAAAGATCTTCAGTAAACAGCCCTGAAGCCTTAAAAACAATCTTAACAGCATTGATTTCTCTGCTGAAAAAGGGTCTATCCCTTCTGACTCCAGGAACATATTTCCATGACCCCCACTTCCACGACCTCGCCAGCAGTTCCGCAAGGACATTTAGCAGCTGCACTCCTTGGACCCACTCGCAGCAGCCCCGAGTTTGTCACTGACTGCTGCTTCTCCCTCCTCTGCAGCGCAAACCTTTGTGCACCCACAAAGATGAAAGCCTGAACAGCTAAAACCTGCCTCTCCCTGGATCAGCTGCACACTCTTTCACCCCACACCGCTGTGCTGGTGTGACAGGGGAGGTGGGAACAGCTTAAACCTGCTCTCGCTTGGGCAAAATACCCAGCGACAAAGCCTACACTGAAACCGGTCTGCACAGAGGAATGCCAGGCAAATGAAGACATGCGCTTTTTAATTAAGACGCTACACTTTATGCTCTGCTCAGTAACTGAATGAGACCTTATTAAGGGCACATTCAGCAGAATGCATCGCTGCATAATTAGTAACTGTGAGACAGGCCTCACGCTGTAAGAGGGCTGGGAAAAAGTGACACTGCTGCCGAGGAGGAGCTTGTCCAGTCCTTGTCTGTTCAGCCTGTGCTAGCGTTTCATTCATTTTCAGGTGTACAGAGCTAACAAAAGAGGAAATCCCTAAATTTTTTGACGTTAATCCTCTGATGTTGTTTCCTTGGAGACGGGATTCCTTAGAGATGAAACGGCAGCAAACTGCAGTATGGGAACAGAGACAGCACAGAGGCAGGGAACGGAGGCAGACTCCAGTTTACTTTAAGGATGCTTTATCCTGCTGTGAATGCTCAGAGCGGCTAGGATTATAACACCAGTCTCTCCTATTTGCCAGATGATACAAAGCAGCTTTGTGTGCACAACAATCAGCCCTTGAAGTCTAGACATCTTGCAACAGAGTAATTTGGATAGGGACCATTACTCTAAGCCACAGCAGGAAAAGGTTCCCAAAACCTCATCTGGAATCCACAGCAGGACAGGAAACTCACTAGGTGTAAGACATACCCCCCTCTAAAAGTCCTAGATAATACAGAGAGAGGAAAGAAAAGCTTTCTCCACCTCCTTCCACCTGTAACAGCAGCAGATCACACGCTCGCTTAGGCTGTGCTAACTCTAATGGATTCATATTTCCCATGCCCAAAGCCACCCATCCCAAGTGGCTTAACCTGAGAAATTAGGTGTGGATAAGCTTAACACGGACCCTGCTACGTCTCCAAAGGAAGTACTCTTACAAGTTTCCAGCGCTGTCCCAACCAGACCAGCTTCAGTAGGGCTGGAGAAGAAAGGAGTTTTGCTACAGACCTTAGTCATGACACCCTGTTCAGGGGAGATCTGAGCAGCTGCGTGAAAGGCATTGGGAGCAGCCTGGGATGTCTCCGAGGTGCAGTTCCCAGCACCGCAAATACTGGCAGAGCTGGTGCAGCAGCATGCCCTGCCCCTTCTTCTGTCAGCCACCTCCGCTCGCTGCCCGTGGCAAAGCCCGTTGGCTTTACCAACTTCCTCCTTCAAAGGGCAGCGAGCATTCCACCCACAGGCACTATGCTCGGAGGCAGCCTTGCCAAACACAGACTATCCATGATTCTGCAGGGTCACTCTGAAAACCACATTCCTCAGATGACTGCTCCACCATTCCTCAGATGACTGCTCCTCTCTTTCCTTCAAAGCAAATCATAAACAGAAAAAGCCAGCCGTGAAGCGTTATCGAGAAGTTTATTGGCAGAACATTTGTCCTTAGCATGCCAGTCGCAGCCGAGATGGAGCCAACCTGCTGCTAATGCATTATTTACTCCATCTTTATCTCCCTGAAACAGGAGCTCCTGTCTGGAGCGAGCCACATGCCCACTAATCAGCAGAAGTGCTTCTTCCAGCACAGTTGAACCAGCCCCTCCTGAACAAGGATCCTGTCCACACACCCAAGAGTTCTTCACCGAAAATACTGTCACAGCAACATGCAGGGAACATTGACATTTGCGGAAAAGCAACAGCCTCAACAATCTGTCAGAGTCCACCAAGGGCAAGTTTTAATTGCTTTTTCTCCCATTACAGACTGCTCTCCCTTACAGAAAAATTAAACCGGCGGGGGGGGAAATTCAAACCTCCATGAATTAGAATCAAAAATAACTTCTGGAATAAAAAGTAGTGTTGGAAGCAGGCGAGGAGAGATAAAGAAACAGGCTAGCCTGTGCCCAGGAGGTGAACTGCTTCCCCATGGCAACAGCAGACTATCGTCTGAGCGTCACACAGCTCGGTGGAAGTAAGGCAGCAGCCCAGGGCACGCAGGAAACTTTCCACCTCTTCAGCCATCACTGTTAGAGAACAGAACGGTCCAACAGGAGATGGGGCAATTAGGTGACCAGTTTATATTGGCTGTGACAGCCTGACAGCCACCTTGGGAGGGGATAAACAGTGTCTGATATATTTCCAGTTCTGTTTTATTAGTGCTGGTGCTGAATGAGTATGAATGTTAATTACCTAACCTTCATCCGAAAGCCCTGATCCCCTCTGAAAACTGAAAGAGCAAGCAGCAAGGCCATTTGCTCTACATTACACACAGCACATTTGGACAGAATCTGACCTCCAAGTTCAGTCTAGGCGCTCCTGAGAGGAGAGGGGACTACCAAGGACACATGCATAAAGGAAGAAGTTTCAGTTTTTAGCAGTTACAAGTAAGCAATAAAAATGTCTTTCTCCTGAAAAATCCCTGTCCAAATTCATGAGCATTTTTGACAGGTCTGCCTTTAGGTAGGTAAAGAAAACAGGAAACCCAGCAGGCATCCCAGATACCATTGCATTCAGCCACTCCTTAGCCATCCACCCTCTGATGGCATTGTTAATCATGTAGGGAGTAAATGCATAAGCTAACATAACTTCTCTTTTTTTTTTTTATTTTGTGCAATGTTGAATTACAACGAAATGACAACACTGAAGTTAAAAGGGAACCACATAGTTCGGCTAAAGAGGAAACGAATTCAAGTTCTAGCCCCAGCATTGTATGAAGCAGCGAGATGACAAGCATCCCTATGCGCTGTTTATTCATCCAACACAGACATGCTTTTTTGCTAGTATATGGACAGGAGCACTACTGCTTAGGAACCCACTGTAAAAAAACATAAAAGAACCAGAACCTATCAGAAGCCTCTTACAACTAGGGATAAGACAAGAAACAGATGGACGCAGGCAGGAGACACTCCAGCAGCCTAACAACTCTCTCCGCTACTAGGGTGTTCATAAAGCATTTCAAACAACTCAAGAAACGCTATAGAATTTATACTTTCATTACAGTAAATAACTTCCTAGCTGCCTCCTCACCTGCATGTTCCAGTATGGCTAACAAGTCCTCTTTGGTGTGTTTTTAAAAGAATGTCTAAATTAGCTGGCAAAAAAAGGAAAAAAAATTCAAAACTAACGAGGTACCAGTGTCACAGCAATGAGATCTGACTAAGAGAGACACATAGTTGAGAAGCGGGGCCGCTGCTCATACCAAGCATATCACCTAGCCTGGCACATGCTGCATTGGGAAGGACGCAGTTTAAATTTGCACTAGGGAAACATGTTGGAGGCACTCGGAGAAAGCAGAGTGACTGCCTGGTGCACCTAGAACAGAGAGACGTACCAAGAGAGGAGTCTCTCAGAGATATTTTGAAGACCCAGACTAGAGATTTAGAGAGGCATTTGGCAAAGCTGGGAATGATGAAAGCTCAAAAGCCACACACGCCACTGTTGTCCCACTGTGCCCTGGCTACAGCTGAAGGGGTACACAGCAATACAAAAGCCCCATGACAGTTAGTGATTTCCACATCAATTTGTGAATTCCTACCCTATCCTTTATAAGCCATGGTTAAGTTAAGGTCCCCCACATAGCTGTAGTTGAATGTCTCACGAGTCTTAACAAGTTTTGCCTATCTAAAAAAGGGTTTAAACAAAAAGGAAGAACTTTATCCACAGAGCACAAAAGACACCAGCACTCACTGTCATCACATGTTAGAGAGGCCAAAAGTCCAGCCGGGACTATTAAATGCAACGGCAGCGACTACCCTGCAGCTCAGCAGTCACTACGTCTCACGCTACCAGTAGTATTGTTCAAAGGAAGGATCTCTACTCTTTCATCCCTTTTCCCTTGGCAACTCCTATGGTAACCATTAAAGAAGGAAACAAACTAGACTGACTTCCCCTCTGATAAACAATGCTGTTCTAACTTGATGCTTGCATGAGACAATTCTCTCCTGCGGGCACTCCCTACACCATACACAAATGGGAAACTGAAACATAAACTGGGCTGACTAGAAACCCGGAGCAGATCAAAGTGAACAAGGATTTACTCCTGAGTTCAAGGCTGGCCTTTCAGCTGTGACACTTCGAAACTGGACTTCAGATCTTATGGCTGTGAAGAATGATTAAATAGCAAAATTTTAAACACTTTGTAGGCAAAGAAATGCCTATTTGCGTCATATCTGAGCAGCCTTCTGCCCTTCCCCCTTGAAACACAAAGCACTAGACGACTCACCTGTCAGAATAGTCTGGAAAGCTGCTTCCACATTTGTAGAGTCTAAAGCAGACGTCTCGATAAATGACAAACCATTCTTCTCTGTGTGGACAGAAATACTATAATTAGAGGGGTACATCACATATCTGTTTCTCATCTGGAAGAACTTCTGTACCAGATTATATTTGTAGCGTTCCTGATGAGACTTGAGATATCAAGTATAAAAAGTCGTGGGTTTTTCCCCCCTTACGTGATCTGAAAGCAACGCCACCCAACACCAACGTTAGAATTCACACTCATCCCCAAGCACAGGGATCAGTCCAGTGCTGTGTTACTTTGAGGCACTTATTCCTGCATCACTAAAAATGAGAATTTGTTGCACTTTCACGAATTGTGTGAGAAAGCTTCCTGGATTTTCTTTAACTCAACCAAGTTTCTCCACCTCCCACCTGCTAGTATGTCATGGCAGCTTATTTAACAGGGCTAGCGCTACAGGGGAATGACAGTCCTCTACCTGCAGGCACGGATCTTCACTGGCCATAAACTCGGCAAATGCAGCTACAGCAAGACTTAATGTAAGAAACCCAGCTACACTCCTGGATGAAAGAAATTTGGCCTAAAACAAGGCAAGACTTACAGAAACTAGAATTATTTTTCCACAGAATTTTTTCTGTAACAGCAGTCAGAAAGCTGGTTTAATGACAGTCTGTTCAACCACAGGCATCTGCAGAGGGCACCAGATGAGTTGGTACAAAGAGGGCAATATACAGGTGCAAAGCTACCACCATACAAGAAACTCAAATCTAAAGCCATAGGCACAGTTTCTGCAAGAGAAACAATGCACAGGCTAGAAACTAAATCCGATTTAAAATCCTCAGGTGCCTCTGGCTGATTCTTGAAACCACATCAGCATGCATGTTCCACAAGGCTTCCTTTTCGACTGAATTAAAAAAGAGGCAAACACTAGTACGTGACACTGAGGAACATCACCAGTAGCATTCTTTTTCCTCCTACGAGCACGCTTACGTATTTGAGACCAGGCAGGCAGATCCCCAGACAGTTAGCATTAGGAAATTATTTTGAGTTCACCAACCTGCAAAAGCTCTGGCCTCATCTGTAGGGACTGCTCTCAGGTGGCGCAAGTCACTCTTGTTTCCCACAAGCATGATTACAATATTGCTGTCAGCATGGTCTCTCAGCTCTTTCAACCATCGCTCTACATTCTCGTAAGTAAGGTGCTTAGCAATGTCATACACCAACAATGCCCCTACAGCTCCACGATAGTACCTGTCGGTGAAGAGACGTGTTAGAGAACGAGCAAGAAATATCATGATTAAAAGTGACAAGTTACCGTGCAATAATCAGTAATAGCTATTACTAAGACAGCTACACAAAACAAATATCCAGAAGCAGGCTATGTGGGACTTGAAACAGTGAAGTGGAGCATCCAGACTAGGGTTATGCCACAGGACCACGACAGCAGCCAGGACAGCTCAGCACCTAGGGGGTAAGCCAAACCCCATGTTTGCGAGGAGAACCCTGCATCCCAAAAACAAGGCTCTGGAATCTGTCTGTGGGGAGCTACTGTCACCTTCAACCTCTGATCCACTCCTGAAGTCTCCCCCACCCATCACTGTGGGTGCAGTATGGGCACGGCCCACAGCGATAGAGAGACTACAGAATGACTCACTGCATCATAAAAATGTCAACCTGATCTATTCCCTTTAGAAAAGGCCACAGCTGGTCTCCTTTCAGACCAGGGAGGCACACAGTAATGCATTCAAAAAGAGACAGGCTGTGTTCTCCCACGCCACAATTACCCCCAGCTTTACTTAAAACCAGCTTTTGCTATGCCGGGGTTTTTTTCAATTAAATAAGCACGCAAAGTGAACAGTCTTTCCTTGCTGCTACAGGAGGATTCCTGGTCTTAGGTTACCCCTGATAAAACCTCCATGAACACTGATACTACTTTAGCAATCACTTGCATTGAAGTGAGTCTCTCAAAGCTCTTGCATTCTAGGCTTGAAATGCCTCCAGTTATGTACCATGAGAGCACTGAGAAGTAAATCAGTTTGTGCAGGGACACACTATATCAAGTTCCTGGGATGAATAATATTTAACCTTCCTTCCACCGCAGGTTGTGGATATTACACAATAAAATACAAACACCCCCGGTTTGCAGTTTCCGAGGAATAGGAAAGGCCCAAAATTACCCTCCTCAGCAAAAGCTTCTCTTCAGCTGTACAAGCTATCACTTACGCTGATGTTATAGCTCGGTATCGCTCCTGCCCTGCTGTGTCCCATATCTGAGCCTTTATTGTCTTCCCATCAACTTGAATGCTTCTTGTTGCAAACTCTACTCCAATGGTGCTTTTGCTTTCCAAGTTAAACTCGTTGCGAGTGAACCGAGACAGAAGGTTACTCTTTCCTACTCCAGAGTCTCCAATAAGTACAACTACAAGACAAAAATGAGATAAGAATCATATTCCAGGTGTCGATAATACATTGACAGTCACCTGCAATAAACATTTATTTTCCTGAATGAAGCATGAATGAAAAGAATGGCAAAGCCACCACCCTAGTCATGGGTCTACTGTCCAAGTCTTGATATTTCTAGAGAACCAGAGCTGTCACATTCACCAGCATTTTGAACAGACATTAGATTCAACTTTTACTTGTTACATTTCAGTCTCCTCTGCCCAATGTGGAAGAACATTCCTCCTCCAGGAAGAACATACCTGGCTGTCAGTGCAAAAGCTGGGGACCATTTGAATTTCACATCCTTGTAACAACATTAGAACTAAAAAACAAAACAAAAACCCCACACAACTGAGATCTGTTTTGCTTAAGGAGTCCACAACACAGGGCAAGCAGCAGACTCTGTCTTCATTTTACACCCTTCATATCTTTGGAGAAGAGATGTTCCCCCCTGGAGTAGAAAAATTTGTGAATGGAAAAAAAGAACCAAACCCAAAAACCCACAAGTCCACCATCACTCCAATGGACAGCTGAAAGCGTTAGCTGAGCCACAGCACCCTGCTCTTCCGCAGTCCCTCGCTGCTGCTGCAACCCCCGGCCACTTTAGGCCAGAGCCTGAAACTGCTCTAAAACGCTGCCGGGGTATCGCTGGGCCTCAGAATTAGAACCACCATCCGCTCCCACTTCCCCGGCTCAGCTTGGCTCATCACACCACCAGTGCCAAGCAAACTAATTGGAAGGATTCAGCTACACCTGACAAGAGACTGACAGAAGGTTTGAAGTCCAGTTCCTACAGGAAAAAAAGCGTCACGAGGACTCGCTGCAATATCCTGTAATGCTGAGTGGAAAGGTGCAAGTTTAAGTGTAACTTAAAGCTCGCTACCAAGATGCAGGCCGCTGGATGAAACACATTCACAACCCCGAGTCACTCCAACAGGAGCCTCTCGGGATGATCTTACACCCTTAACGAAGATAAGGTAACGAATCGGTAACAGAAGGAAATGGAAGAAAAAGAGTCAGATCCTCGAGAAGAAAGGCTGATAACTTTTAAGTTCGGCAGTGAATCAACACCAGCCCAAGCAAAAGAGTGCACACTCAGGTGACCAAAAAATGTTGTGGCTATGCTTGTTTTGAAAAAAACAGAAATACTTGCTCAGTAACATACATCATTTAACAGTTAAGACACTGCAACACAGTGTTGAAGATTCTCTGTGGTACAACAGAGGAAGGAGTGCACCAAACACACTTCAATCACATGAGAAGCCCCCCACGGAGCCTTGGTCTAGCAGCGCAAACACTCCCATCTGCTGCTGCACCGCGCAGCAGCCCTCTGAACGCCACCTTCGATTTAAATAATGCAAAACAATTCTGGCAAATGGGATTTTCTCTGACTGGAAGGGCAGAGCAGCACCTTTTAAACACCCTCCATAAAATGAAAATTGCAGCAAATGCTAGCTTCAAACATGGCCTTGTGGAGAATACGTCATCAAAATAAACATCTTTCCAGCTTCCTCTGCCAGCAGACTCAGCACACAGCTGGCCGAGCCACAGAAGCTGCGTAAAGCGCGGAGCGGCTCCGGTAACCACTTCTGTTGCTGAAGATCACAAGCGCAGGTAGGTAGCGAGCACATATGCTGAATGCAAATAGGATTCTGCTTTCCTACGTGACAGGTCAGCACTGTTCAGTGTCAGCTGCCCTGACACAGCTGAACAGCTTTGCTGGCACAGGAGATGCTAAACCATAATAAACCTGGTGCAAGGGACAGTGCACCTAATTGCGTCATCACCACCTGGCAAACTGCCATAGCTTTCCCCTTTCATTGGCAAATAAGTTCTTCAACACTATTTTGGCAGGTTTAGGCCACAGTTTTAGGTGACATATTTGTGTTCACTGGGATGTGTTAAAAACAACAAGTTCCAGGGAGGCAAAAGTTGTCAACTCCCTTCGCACACCTCAGTCCTGCTATCACCCAGCATCAGCTTTGGCAGCGGCCAAAAACTGCTCTGAACAAGAAAAGCAATCCACAAACATAATTTCCTTTTCCCAATAGGATGCATCACATACCTGTTAAGTATCCCCCTCAAATATATTTTTGTTGTTCAGTGCATATTTCAAAGCACAGCTTTAAGCCATTTAACAATAGACGGATCATTTTAATTCCTCTGCCTAGTTTTTTTTCCTTACCTTGTCTGAATCTCACGCTGCTTATGTTCTGAATGGTTTCCAGCACCAGACTAATATGTCCCAATTAAAAGGGGAGAATATTGGCCTTTTCTCCTTGAAGTCAGCTATTTCCTCTACTTAATCGGGCCATTGCGGCTCCTCTTGAATACGGACACAAGAACAGCCTGCCATGTCAGCAGGCACCTAAGACTCCTCACACTTCCTGAATTTCTGCCAGTCTGAGCAAGTATCCCTCTTTGACTACAACTATGAACCAAAACAGCTTTAACAGCCACTCAGATTGTATTATCCTTATCAAACCACCTCATTTTGATATTTCATATTACAGTGTTCCCATGTATTGCATTCTTAGCAGAGAAATACAGTAGGAATGACCTTGGATGGCCGGGTCCCACTCTATCTATCCCAGGCAAACAGTTTCTGGGAGGGAAATGATGTTATCTCGTTCCATGTTAAAGCTAATTGTTCCTACACACACACACTGTGATTGGGCTTTTCTTCCAGAAACTCACTCCTAACGGTTAGAAATTGCATTCTAATTTTCAGAAGAAATTAGTGGTCAGCTGACAGTGATGTTCAAGTGCCAGCATTGCCCATTAGCTTATTAGTTTCTTCTCCCAATGGTGTTTACGCCGGGGTATTTAGAGAAAGCAACCACATCTTCTCTTGGCTTTGTTCTACTAGCTGACTAAGCCAACTTCTCAAATGTTTCCTTATGAACAGACTGTCTATTTCTCCAAACATCCTCCCTAAAAGTTTCTCAATTTCTTTTCCACACAGTGAGAACTGCACACACCATTCTAAGCAAGATCTCCCTGTGATGTATACAGGGATTTTAATACTTCCATCTCTACTAGGCATACCTGGAGCTGGAATTCCTTTTCCTGACCATATCACCTTGGTGGATCAGTCTGCCTGTGATCAGGCCTAATTGTTCTAGCTTTAAGTTGGCAAACTTTAACTTTACCAAACCCCTCTGAGTCCCCAGGGCATAAAACCTTACATCCTGAATCGCACCTCTTTTGGAGGACTGCAGTCCTCATCAGCATGCAGCCCTTCCAGCGCTGCGCTCTGACCTTCTCCTGTACCACCCAGCTTGCATCACCAGCAAATTCCTTTACTCCATCAGCACTGGAACGAGGAAGGTCTAGAGGAAACATTTAAGCAAGTTCAGCCACAAGACCTCTTCTTGAAAATCTCCATCAATAACCTTCTTTGGACCAGCACTTTCCTTACAGGAGCAGCACCTTAGAAACCTTCGCAATCAAGGGAGATTTGCATTGGCACATCCTGAAAGGCATGAAAGCGATTGCCCTGCCCCAAGTGACTACTACTAGGCATGTCATTCTTACTGGTTTAGTGATGTACCAGTTCAATAAATGCATTGATTTAAAGCACGTGTTTGCAAGTGACTATCTACTGCATTAACCACCCCAAAGGTTTAAGACAAGGTTTGGTGGAGAGGGAAAAAAAACCCAAAACACAAAACCAAAAAAACCCAGACTATGAAGTCCAAGCTACTGGGAAAATGTCATCCTGTAATTCCAGTTTTATTTCTGTAGAAGACCAAAATAAGAATTCAATTTCCTAAGTTGCATGGAAAGCAATTTAGAGAATGTCAAGAAAGGATTATTAATTTTTCACCACCACTCACACAATTTTTATTTCTGTTAAACCTCTTAGTTGAAATTTTTCAGAAAATACTTCAATTATTTCATGAAATATATTACTGACAACCTAACCAGGTTGAAAACAGGAAGTCCGGCATCACTAGCTTGTACTGTCTATGGTAAAAGTTATTTCATGAGTCACAAATTACACAATTTAAAACAAGTGCACCAGCGTTAAGGACTTACAATGCCTAAAACCACTCGTGTCTGCACTGAGCTCTGCTACGAAGAGGCATATCAATAAAGAGCCTGGACTCATCTCCATGACCCCCAGAAGAACCTGCTGATGAACGCCTCTTCCTGCCCACTTCAGTCGGAGTCTAAAGGAAACGTGAATGAGATGACTCAATTCTACACCTTGTAGGTAGCTGGTGATAAACCTAACACAATCATGTCTTATATTCATCTCCTTCCTCACCTGTGCCCCCCTGTTTTATTCACCCATTTCCTGTCACAAAGGGAACTGGCCTTTCAAAGGCACTTTGGGGTAGGGGTTGTTCGTTACTCGTATTTACTACACGTAATGCAGAGTTAGGCCTCCAAACGCCTCTGCAGTAAAACGGCTAAGCCAGCAGGTTTACCACAGCACAGAAGTGCCTCCACATCTAACGTAGCGAAGGCAAAGGGCTTGCTGCCATTGTAAAAACCAATAGGTGTCATGCAACTACTTTGCCCTACAAATTTCTCTAAACAAAACACACAAAAAACGTGTTTCCTAAAACCCAAACCAACAAGTTTGTTCAGTTTCAGAGCACTTCCTCGATATCAAAGGGAAAAGTTGGAGAAATTAATATGATGCAAAGTAGGAAGCATATAGCTGAAACTGGAGCTTTTCCTAACGATAAGCTGAATGTCACAGCAAGTCAGGTCCACTTCTCAGAAACAAGAAGCCTGACCCCAAATCCAGAGTTCCAGATGGTCAAGCTATAGACATAATCCTCTCGATCTTTGTCCACAGAAAACACAGAAGACATCTTCTACAAGTGAGGGTTACTTTGATAACTACTCATCTACTGCATTAAACAGAAAGAGTAAAAAGTTCCTGCATTTAAGCCAGGCTTAATTTAAGCCAGGCTTAATTTATTAAGTAATATCCTTATATTATATTTTCCTCCCATTAAAATTAGAG